TAGTGTAGTCGGGCCAGGATTGGTGTCATTTACTCAAACCATCTTTCCACGGTGAGCAACCTGGCAGCTGAATTCTGCATCAGCTGAAGTTTCTGAACTTCAGAGGAAGCCCTACATATTATGCATTGCAGTAATCTAATCTGGAGGTTACCAGAGCATAGACAACAGTAGTTAGACTATTCCTGTCCAGATAAGGATGCAACTGGGCCACCAACTAAAGCTGATGGAAGGCATTCCACATCACCGAGGCCAGCTTAGCCTCAAATGACAGCAGTGGATCCAGAAGTACCCCAAGCTGCGTACCCGTTCCTTCGGAGGGCATGTAATTCCATCAAGAGCAGGCCTTCTCCTATCCATTCATATGGTACTGTCCACTAACAGCACCTCAGTCTTCTCTGGACTGAGCTTCAGTTTATTCAGTCCAGCACATCTGCTTCCCAACCTACAGATGTAAAGGAGAAGTAGAGCTATGCGTCATTGCTGACAACATACTCTAAAATTCCAGATGACCCCACTCAGTGGTTTCAGGTAGATGCTAAATAGCATGGCAGGAGGAATTGAGGAACCCTGCACTGAAGGCCCCACAAGGCCAAATGATAATCCCCAAGCATCAGCCTCTGAAAACAACCATCTAAGTAGGCTCAGAATTACCATCTGCTGATGGTGTGAGGGATTTACTGGTATCTATTTCGTTTCTATCAGATTATGACTAGTCCCTAACATCCTGCCATGCTTCCTATATTAAACATTAAAAAGGCCTTGGCTAATAATAATAATAATAATAATAATAATATATTTATACCCCTATCTGGCTGGGTTCCCCAGCCACTCTGGGTGGCTCCCAACAGATTAAAAACAGAATAAAACATCAAACATTAAAACTTCCCTAAACAGGGCTACCTTCAGATGTCTTCTAAAAGTCAGATAGTTGTTTTATTTCCTTGGCATCTGAAGGGAGGGTGTTCCACAGGGCAGGCACCACTACCGAGAAGGCCCTCTGCCTGGTTCCCTGTAACCTCACTTCTTGCAGGGAGGGAACCGTCAGAAGGCACTCGGAGCTGGACCTCAGTGTAGAATTGCAGATTACAGAGCCCATGATGCAGTGCAACTGTGATATAACTGCATATACATAACAACATCTGGTACTCAGAAGCAACCATTCCTGTATATAGTGTGTGTGTGTGAGAGAGAGAGAGAGACAGAGAGAATATTGATGCATATAATATATATGAACTCTATAGCCAAGCTGCTTCGTGGATTTTATTGTCCATATGCTACAAAACATTTGATAATGTTTAATATAGGGTGCATGATAGCACATAATGAGACAGAATAAATCCAACAGGCCAGGCAGATTTTTCACAGAAATGTATTGCTGGGTGAATGGATTTTATTAGAGTTAGAGGTTTGAGAGGGCAAAATATGATAGGATATTATGTAAAGAACAGTTTGATTGAATAAGAATAAAATATGGCTCACCTTTCATTTGGTGGAGAACTACCCTCCTTGCTAAGTGTAGTTTTTATTTTTCAACTTGTGCATATGTGGCAGAACACACCTTTAAAGTCCATTGAAGTATTTGTTGCATGCTTCACACGCATGTATCCAAGCTAGAGTACATCTAGCCTAATGCCCTGCTTCCTTTCCCAATTGCACAGGTTAGATAAAAGGCAGGGCACTTGATTAATTTCTAATCAAAGGGTATTATACATTTATCCACCTGTGATTTAGCTAGTATGTACTATTGGTTTAACTTGATAACTAGCTAAATACTATTATTGCCTTTTTTCCTGCAATGAGACTGTTCAGTTAATCAAATCCAAAGTGCCAGAAAGTACTTTGATACCTATCATTTTATTCTTCAGCAACAAAAGAAATCTACATATATTGATTTAGCTGTCATCAGCCCTTCCTGCGGTTGGTGCTGGGAGTTATATAAGAAAAAGAGACTAATGGGAAATGCCTTGTTCATATTTGTCAGGTTGCTTTGTGGATCTCAATTGCTGGCTGCAGCCCTGCCACGTAGGGCCCATGTAGGGCCACAGAAATCTGGTGGCCCACAGATTTAGTGCTGTGTTGAGGTTATTTCAAATGCATGTAAAAGTCAGCAGCCAAGAAGGGGGATGAAGAAAGACTAAAACTATGTGGTTGATCGTTACAGAAAGGAATTACTTTGTGCACAAGTCCTACTGAGCTGAGTTTCACAAAATCACTAAGTTAGGGAAATGCATTCTGGTGGCAGATTCCAGAAGCCATTAATTCTGATTTGGGAGAAGACTCTTGGGAAGATGATAAATGATCTAAAAGTTTCTCAAAAAAAACCAACCCCAAACCCCTCTCATGCTGGATCTTGCTTGTGCATTGATCCAGACTGGTGATGTCACCAGCCTATAAGAATTTGCCAGGCTGAATTTTGGAATTTCTCAGTATATCAGGTGAGAGAGAAGTTTTTAAACTCTTGTTTTTCGGTTTTTCAAATACATGGAGTCTGACGGCCCTGAATTAATAATGAATATTAGTCCAGTGAAAGAGGAGGTTTCCTGGCATATGATGCCTTCTGTTAGTAGGTGGTTCCACCTTGATGGTTCTGCCATTGTCAGCCTGCTAAATAGTCTAGCAGAACGCCTTCAGTTCTAAAACCCAGTTGCGGACAATTTTATGGGTGTGTGGTTCAACAAGCAAAGAAATTATCCTATGAATAATTGGAGTGTGGATTATATCAACATTTGGGCCAAGGCACTGAACTAGTGCAGTAACACGGTACCACTGCAGTTTGCAGGTTAAAGTACGCAGTATGTTCCCCCCCACCCACCCACTCGACAATTCAGCATTTGTTTCCACTCTACAAAATATAACTGTACTGTAATTAGTTTAGTCCCTGTTTGATGCCATATCTATGGGTATGAATGCATGGACAGATGGAGTGTAATTGAACTCACTGGCCTTTCCCTACTGACCTTCCTGTATTCATCTGTAACTCTGAAAAGAGCCTGCATAAGCTTCAGGTTGAACATGAAGGTTCTGTCGTGTGGCCAGAAAAAGCAAATGCCCCCTCTACCAATCTGTGTGTATACCAATGTTACGAACACTGTTGATCCCCATCCAAGTCCTGCAATGAGCTTTACCAACCCACCCAACCCCATAAATAGGGTTATTATTACTGTGATATTAAGATGCCTCAAAAATTGCGAGCAATTAAAATTATTAGTAGGATTGGAATGATTAATAGAGAAGATGCAGGAGGTAAAATATTAACATAAGGACCCACAAAGGGGAGAGGGGGAGTCTATGGGGGATTTATGGAATACTCTATTTTTGTTTTGGTTGTTTGGAAATTGTTTGAAAATTTCAATACCTGTAAATGAAATAATTTTAAAAAAAAATTGCAAGGGGTTTTGTAACAACTTTTGCAATTCAGAAGTATAACTGATCTATTATTTAGGCCGTGGGATTATAAGCAGAAATATCTAAAAGCAATCACCACCTGCCCAGATCCCAGTACAGCATACCAGTACTATGGCTGGTTCACACATGACAGTGGTGCCCACACAGTACCCTAGTAGACTAGGCTTCTGGCCCAGCTGCATTATGTTGGGATACCATTTGCCCTTGTCTCTGCATAGGCGGTATAAAGGGACGATTAGAGTTGCATACTCCTATGTAACTTCATTGCACAGAGAAACTATAGTCCAGATACCAACATATAGGAGATACTGAACTCATATAATTATATCAAAATTAACTATTGTCCCATACACCATACTGATTGTGTAGCAAAAATGTCATGTTTGAAGTGGCTGTAGTTTCCAAGAACTTCATAATTAAGATTTCATCTCGAAAGGTGATCACATTGAAAGCCAGCAAGAGCTACAGAGTAGTTCTACACAGGTTTACACAAAAGTAACCTCAGTAGGATGTACTCCAAGAATATACATAGGGTTGCAGCATTAATTAACTTGCTATTTTCCTTTAAAACTTTGCAAACTTATTCAGTTTTTACATGGTGCCCTCAAACGGACACCTTTATTTACTTTGACTACAATCCTATGTACACTTTCTTCAGAGTAAATTTAATTTAATTTAGTGGGGCTTGCATAAAATTGATAAGGTTGGATTGTCATGTTGTGATTAAACTTGGCTTTAAATAGAAATTGCTGTAAACAAAGCCCTGCTTCATTTGGGGCTTACTCAAAGCGTCTCACTGGGATCTCATTCCAGATTTTGTAGTTTAAGCAGAATGAAAAGTCACCCTCTCAATCTCTCAGCATTATAAATATTCCAGACTGAGACTATAGTGTCACAGTCAGATACAGTATTACAAAACCAAGATCACTATATCCTTATGAAGCATAGAGTCTAAGCCATTTGCCAGTATCCAAATACCCATGCTCCTATCAACATAGAATCAGCTACAGGTCAGTACAGCTCATACCCTAATGTACCAGTGCAATGTTTCTTTAGTATACACACAAACAGGTATGCTAAGTTGAGACACAGATCCCAATAGATATCCAAGTAGAATATATCCATGGAAAATGATGTTCAATCAGGAATCCCACTGTACTTATACATCTGAAGATAAATCTAATTAGTGCCCCACTTCATTAAACAATAAAACATAAATATGTAGACCTAATAACTCAGAAGTAATGGCATCAATGGGATTCACAATGGGAACCTAAATCAAATCAATTCAATTAATGACATTTTATTAATATATGTAACCTGTTAATCTTATAATTTTTCATAATTTTCTTACAGTTTCTTACAAAACATCATGTTTGGTTTAGTATGTCGGTAATAATTTTAATCATAGAAAACTCATTTCTAAATTATTTAATAAATAACATGAATTGTATGATCTAGTCAAGTTAATATCTCTTTTTGTTGTAAATATATTTGCTGATCTGCTTGTCTCAAGTATCAAGCTTAGGGTTCATTCCAAAGCACCTTACCTGAGGGTAAACCTGAATGAATATAAATTTAAAAAATTAAAAAATTGCCCAGTAGCACCTTAGAGACCAGCTAAGTTTGTTCTGGGTATAAGGTTTCGTGTGCATGCACAGGAAAGCTTATACCCAGAAGAAACTTAGTTGGTCTCTAAGGTGCTACTGGACAATTTTTTAAATTTGTTTTGACTATGTCAGACCAGAGTGGCTACCTACCTGAATCTGAATGAATATAGTTGGACTTACTTAGGAGTAAACATGTCCAGGATTACACTGCAAATGCCTAATTGTGGCCATCCTGCACATATGTGCATAATGCCAATGAATCTTTTCAAGTACTCTCTATGCTATAGATTTATTCCATTTTGTTTACCATCAGTTTTACTAATTTTAGTAGAATATATTTCCATAAGACTCATTGCTGTTTTCTTCCAAGTTACTTGTGCTTAGGAATATTAGTAGACCCTATCAATAATCAATTTATTTGTAAAAAAAAAAACCAAAAAACCCCCATCCAGGCCATAACAAAACAATATTATGTACATTACTGGTGTAAAACAGAAGATAACAGGGAACATTTCCCAAGTTAACACTTAAAAACGGTCTTGGCAAGCCACTAAAAGGCCCAGTTTTGGCATGTAGCCTTCCTAATTTTCTAGGCCTTTACACAATCAAATTTGCAGGCCTCGCAGTATTATGTTCAATCATATTTCCAAACAGGTAACTCATGATCTGCTCAACAGGGTATTCTGGAATCTTACCCAGAGAGAGGCGCCAACTCATGGGGGCCAAGCACTTTTGGTCTCACCTAATATTTTTTTGAGAGAGTTCCAAGCCCCTCTCCAGTGTCCCAAAAAATCAGGGGGTGAAGGAGGCTGAGTGCAGAGCCAAGCATGACACAACTTCAGTTCCTGGCTCCTCCTCCTCCTGCCACTGAGGAGAATGTGGGTTAAAGCAGCCTGCATTCAGTTACAGTGGCAGGAGCCACCAGCCATTGAAGCTGCACTGTCGCCATGTTTGGCTCCACCCCAGCTCCTCTTGAACATTGCGCATGCAGCGTCCGCCCCCCCCGTCCATCGCCCCCGAAAGCTAACACTTCTGTGCCCAGAAGAGATTGTAACAGGAAATTCTGAGCGGCTGTTTCTGGGGGGCAAAAGAGAAGAAATAGAGCAACATCCTCTGTAAGCCCTGACCAAAACTAGCACACCAGTTGCTCATAGGTAACCCAATTACATTACCCCCTGATAGTCTCCAATAAAATAGTTTGAAGCCTAGAAGTGAGTCTTAGCTAGTTCTCTCAGAACACTTTTCAAGATAAGTGCTCTTGTGTGAGATATGCCATTCATCATGAATAAGCACGCTATAGCAGTACCTATAATTCTATGTCTGTTGAGGAGCTTTCCCTTCCTGCAATTCTGTATGTTTGTAACTTTTCTGGCACATGCATTTTAATCAGGGTTGGCAAACCAGTTTTTAAATTGAGGCCATATTCATCCTTGGCTAACCCTCTAGGGGTCTCATGCCAGTAATAAAGGTAAAGGTAAAGAGACCCCTAACCATTAGGTCCAGTTGTGACCAATTCTGGGGTTGCGGCGCCCATCTCGCTTTATTGGCCGAGGGAGCCAGCGTACAGCTTCCGGGTCATGTGGCCAGCATGACTAAGCCGCTTCTGGCGAACCAGAGCAGCACACGGAAACGCCGTTTACCTTCCCGCCAGAGTGGTACCTATTTATCTACTTGCATGCCAGTAGCAGGGGTGCCAAAAGCAGATGTAGTCACTGCACACTCCTGCACGGGGGGATGCACTCAGGTACACAGCCCCCTGCAACAGATCTGTGCATATCCACTGTGGAGATCTGTGCACATACTCTAAAGATTTGTGTACATCTGCTGAGGAGGGGATAGATAGAAGGAAGTTAATGATAGAATCCTCAGGTAAAAACACTTAAGGATTGCCATGCAGATTGTGATTTCTAGGCACAGGTCTGGGGGGCTTTCTCGTCTGTCCTGCCACTTTACCCAGGAATACCTGCCGTTTACTACTAAGTCTTAACAAACGTCAGTCAGGCTTTCTGCGGATTGACACTTGTTCCAATTCAGCAGTAAACAGCGTTTTTTCCTGGGGAAAGCTGCAGGGCAAATGAAAAATACCTCGGATCCATGCCTACAGTAGAAAGCACAAGATAGTCGCAAGAATGGATGAGCCCAGAGACGATGCCCAACGGAAGCAAAGAAATGATGTGGCACATCCTAATCAGCGTTGGACCAAAGGAGTAGGTGGGCTTCTGCTGAATCATGTTTTAAAGACATGATTTAAAGACAACCTGTTTATTGAGCATTCATTCTGATTTGTTTGCAGGGAGAGCAGGTGACGTTGCTTCAAAGCAAGTGTTATCCCACACTTTACACTGTTTCCCCATTACTTTTCTTATCGCAGTGGGCCTCTTTCGAATGGAAGCTGGTGTGTTGCATAATACGCCCCCAATCAACTGTATTTGTGTAACCTGGTTTTGCCAGTATGTGACAAAATCCCTCTCGCAAATAGAAACAGTCAGGAAGTGCCCTAAGAGTCCCTCAGCAATAAGCTGCGTCTGCCCAGTTGGCATTTGCATACAAAGCTGAGCAGAAGTGCAAACAAATGGATTCCCATTGTCCCACCACATTCAAACATTAAGAAATCCCATAAGAACATAAAAGTAGCCCTACTGGAGGAAACCAATGGTCGATTTGGTTAAACATCCTTCTTCCTACAGAGCTCAGTCAGTCACCTCCCAGGAAGACCACAACAGGGCTTGAAAACAATAGCCTTCTCCTTAAGAACCCCTGTTCGGTGGCATAAACATGGAGGTTTGTTTGTTTATTATTTTACAAGATCTGTTCATTTTCTATGCCTTAAAAGGGGAGCTGTCAAGATCCAAACCGGTCTCAGTTGTCTTTTAATTCTATGGGGTTGGTCAGGGACTGAGAAGCACAACGCCTGGTTCTGCAACTGCTCCCTTTGTCTTAATTCCACAAGGTTCCCTAGTCTCTCTTCTCTATCATCACAGGTCAATATTGCCCCTCTTTTTCTCTTCCACATCCCACAAGTCTCTCACCCCTCCCCTCTATTTTTACTGGCTCCCCCTCCCTCCCCCCCCTTTATATTCCTGTTAGCTGAGAGCCAGCATGGTGTAGTGGTTAAGAGCGGTAGTCTCGTAATCTGGTGAACCGGGTTCGCGTCTCCGCTCCTCCACATGCAGCTGCTGGGTGACCTTGGGCTAGTCACACTTCTCTAAAGTCTCTCAGCCCCACTCACCTCGCAGAGTGTTTGTTGTGGGAGAGGAAGGGAAAGGAGATTGTTAGCCGCTTTGAGACTCCTTCGGGTAGTGATAAAGCGAGATATCAAATCCAAACTCATTATGGCATCAAGAGCACATGAGGCTTTAACTTTCCCCGTAAATCACCCACAGAAGTAGTATGGCTGGGAAGTAGTATGGGGGGAAAGCTCTTAACCACTTACTGCCTGCTTTCTCACATCAAAACTCTGTCAAAACTCTTTACACCTTATGATTGCCTTAAGCAAGATAACTAGTGGACAACCAAATCTACAACTAGCATACAAATCAAATCTTGAAACCACTGGTTCAGAACTTGCCATCTTAACTTTTTCACAGTGGGGGACTAGGAGATGAATCTCTCCCAAGTCAGTCCAGAGAACAATGGTTGTGAGGTGACTGATAAATGCAATATATTTATTTATTTAGAAAGTTTGTCTTCCACGGTTTCTTTTTTGAGGACATTGCCTAGCAACTAACAATCCATATTGTTACATACAGGTAAAGAACTGGGGTTCCTGTAATGCTGATTCAGCTGACAGTGGACCTGATTTGGGGCTAGTGGTGATTCATCTGATCTTTACCCCCGTACATCTTGTGTCTTCTAGCCATGGTGTTAATTATGGTTTTGTGGGATTCTGCCATACCAGAATATGGGCTTTCCCTGACTCCATAGTGGTGTTCCTTCCCTTTCCTTCTGCTGCACAAATCATTTTCATTTCCTCATCTCAATATTGATTCCCGTTTTAACCTTTGGCTTTCCTTCTGCTCTGCATGGCTGATTCAGCAGCCTATTTCTACACCCCTAAGCATGCAATCTTATTTGAATGATGTAAAATGTCTTCAACCCAAGCAAAGCTTTGAAAAGTACTGTCTGTTTGTAGAAATTGCAATAGAAATATTTTATTTACCTTTTCAGTTGTTTATGGTTCAGCATCTTATTTTCCCCTTAAACTTTACATCTATAGAAAAATTATGTGCTGATACAACTTTATGGTAATGAACTACCTATCTTTTTTCTGCTTTGACAGTCTTAATACGCCATCTATATATCAGATAAAATCAATGATTATCTTTTGTCTCTGTGAACCATCAGTTCAGTCTTTCATTCTCTCCCCTGAGCACAGGCTATTGAAAAGTTCTTCATTTCTTTCCCTCAGTAACAACTGCAAAATCTATTCATGCTTTCTCTACCTGTTGCTAAAATCCTTGCCCATATCCTGGTAATCTTCTTGCCTTGCTATTACAGTTGCTTTTTCGTTGGCATTATCCTTCTTCTGGGTCAGTCCAGAATCCCTGCAACAAAATCCTCCCCACTTTTTGATGATTTGATCATCTCACATCTCCTTAAGGCTGTGACTTGGCTTCCTAATACCTTCTAGATCAGCTTCAAAAGCCCCATCCTTATATGTGAGGCACTCAAGTACCATGCGATAGGACGATATTTCTTATTTCCTTTTTCCTTACTGAATAATTTCCATCCCTGGTCTCCTACATGTATGATCAAAATCAAGTCAAAGCTGCTGTTTCAAATGTCTTGGTCACTTTGTTTAAAAGACATGATGTGACCTTACTGAATGGTGTTTAATCCTTAAGAGGATTAAAGTACTCTTGCCTAAATTGTGCAACGTCTTCAATGGGATCAAGAGCAGTGATCTTCCTCTACTAAATCCCAGCTCATTTTGTGACTTTCCCCTCAAAATCTCCACTCCAATGCATTTTGTATTTGCCTTGATTTACCAATGGTTCTAAAGCACTACACTAAGGTATGGTTACGTGGTACACATTTGGTACACATCACCCTATGACTTATTAGCTGGCACACTGAATGCCCACTTATTTAAGAAGGTCCTTT